TGAGAAAAAGTGTTCGAATATCGATGGTGTGCGATAGTAGGTTGCTGACTCTAAAACTTCCATATGCCCACAATGCCATTATAAAAAAATAGTATGCATTAATGTTATAATGAAGATTGTATTTCTCCGCTTTTCAGTGGTGATTCATAACCAGAAACATTTCAGTCTGCAATACCTTGTGTATGACTAGCTGTCTACATAAAAATTCAGAGCATTAATGTGTTGCAATAGAGACAGTTATACTTTCATTTCTCGTGGTAAAATAAAAATTCTTTTGTTATTCCTATTCAATCAAAGTTTGAAATATTCAGTTCATATATCAGCTGCTGCAGCAGTTTGCTATTGTGTTAAAGGTATAATATCACTGTGTTATTAAAAACTTATGAATTTATTATAATTATTTCTTAAAGGATCCATTATAAGATGTTATTGTTCTGAATCACATTCACACATAAATCTTGAAGTTATGGTCAGCTCAAGTAGATACTGTATACAGAAAAGAAATTGTAATCACCCCACCAAAATGCTTCATAGTCTTAATGAAACAATAATCAGCTTATATAGATCTAACTGTCATGAAAATTACTAGCAACTACGTTACTATGAAGTTTTATAGTCTAATTGAAACTACTATATCAGCTCTAACTGTCAATAAAACTGACACTATAGTAAATGTAATCAACGAAAATAATATTATTGACATAGATCTAATAATCATAAACAGCCTACCTGTTCTGAAACTGCTAAAATGATGAAGTTCTTATCAAAAACTCAAATATAGCTAATAAAAATTCCCTCCTGATGCATAGATATCATTCTTTCAGACAGATCAGTCAAGTTTCAATACAGATCCGCGAGCGTTCCGCATTGATCCGCATTTCAGCCCGATCCGCATTTGATCCGCGTGGATCCGCATTTCAGGCTGGCCCCTCGGTTTGTCTGTCTGTGTTTCATTCATTACCCGAGCCCACGCGTAGGCGTGGAAGCGAGGGTAAAGCAGTCGTCCTGTCTGTGTGTGTGTGTGTGTGTTCGCTTGGCCTCCACTTTTGAGCTGACACTGCTTTCTTGTCTAGTCCTGGAGAGTCTTATAATCAACACTGGCTCTAGAAAAAGTTATTCTCCGTCTTGGGAATGCTATACTTTTCTTTTCCGTGGAGTAAGAAGCTGGCAAAGTCGCCAAACGTAGGTCGGTTCCTCGACAACTTTTTCATAGTGTGAGCAAAAGAGCAACTGGGCCGATAAAACAATAAAGCAAAGCATCATCTTTCATTAATATGAGAGGAATTGCTGTAATCATCTTCGTTTTAAAGATATGGTAGCCCAAAATTCATACTTTTGTGAGTTTACACGAGGCTCTCTTCTCCCGAAGTAGCGGCCAGAGTCTTTAAACATCAGGGGCTCAATAGACGTTTGTATGCAACAAATAGAGCCTAACAAATGTATGCTAAACTGTTTAAAAGTCGAGAAAAACTAAAGCTTTCTTCACCACTTATAGCCATGTGCCACCATTACTGTGTGTGCGGGTGGAGCATGGCTTGATTGAGCCACACCTTCATTGCAGCCACACCTTTACATTGCTGCAGCAGTGCAGCAAGCATGCTGGAGCTTCTTCTCTGTCTAAAAAACAAAAAATTCACTGTCTCAAAACATTCACTAAGTTTTTACATGCTGAAGCTTCTTTTCTGTGTCAAAACTTCCACTAATTATTTTTCTGTTAATTTATTAAAATTTTTACACACAGACTGTGGCGAGGGTATGCACTTTAGTGCTCTCGTTCATTCATTCATTCTGTGTGCTCTCTTTTGTCTTTGAGAATGCATATCTTTACAATCGCGCACTCTAAATCTGTGGGAGCTTCTCTTCTGTTAGGAAAAGTCTTGCTTTACTGCTTCGAGATGTTTAGAGAGCAGCTCTACTTAAGCTTTTTAACTCACGAGAAAATGCCCAGCAATAGCGGTAGTACTCTGGAGGTAAATGAGACTCTTTCCCA